CCCCTTATAATTATTTCTTTGCACACTTGAACACTTGTCATTTGGGATCACCAATAGTTTTATGGCTTTGGAACAAATGCATTAATTAATTCATTCAACAAATATTTATTAAGCATCTATGCATGCTAGGCACTGTTCCAGTCACTGAGAATACAGCAGTAAACAAAACATAAAATCCCCACTGTGCTGAAGTTTATGTTCTAATTGAAAACAATGATCCAATCTACCATGAGGAAGAGTGGCAGACAGAAAGTAAACATATATCAAATATATAAAGGAAGTTAAGGGCACAGAGAAGGAGGGGAAGGAGTAATCTTCTAGACAGATGGTCAGGGGAGGGTTTTCTGAAAAGGTGATACTTGAGCAGAGTCCTGAAGAAAGTGAAGATTCAAGATCAGTGGATTTCTGGGGTAAGAACATGGTGGGAGGAGAGAGCAGGGAACGAAAGGCCCGCGGGGTGGGAGCTTGCTTGAAGGGATCAAGGAACTGCGAGGAAGCCAGTGTGGCTGGAGTTGAATGAGCAAGAGGGAAAGCAGTACAAAATGAAACCCATGGTTCTGTTGATGGATATTTAAGTTTTTCTAATTTTTCACTGCAACAAAAGTGCTATTCTGACTATCCTTATATGTATCTCTTATTCATATGATAAAATCTTTCTTTGGGGTTAACATCTAGAGATATAATTACTGGATGTACAAATCCCCAGTTTACTAAGTATGAAAAAGTCCTTTCCAAAGCATTTTTAAACCAATTTACACTCCCACCTGCAGTATATAAAACTCCAATTTGCACTGGACAATGTCAGACTTTTAAATATAACAATAGTTTTATTATGATATTTAGCTATACGTTTTACTCTAATATTATATTAATACTATCATAATGTGTGTTGTAACTATTATAATAACATTTTATCCTTGCTGCTTTATTTTATATTTCCATAATTACTGGTGAAGTTGAATATGTTTTTTACGTTATCGCCACTTGGGTTTCCTTTTGTAAACTGCTTATGTAGCTCCTTTGTCAATTTCTCTATTGGATTATTTGACCTCATTTCTCCTTTTTTTTTTTACATAGAAATTCTTTATGTATTCTGGTTACTGATCCTTTGTCAGTAATATATATAGTAAATATCTTCCTACAGGTGAGCTTAGCTCTTTGCTTTCCGTTCTAGCTTGTAGTACAGAAGTGGTAATTTTAAAATAGTCAAATTTAACAAGATTTTTCTTCATGGCTTATAAATTTTTTCCATCTTAAAAACTCCCAAAGTCATAAAAATTGTTTTCGCATTTTTCTTTAAAATTTTTGCTTTGAAAAATATTAATCTTTTTTATTTTGCTAAATCTAAAACACATAGAAAAGCTGAGGAACAGTAAAATGAATACATTTATACCCCTCACCTATATTTACCAACTATTAACATCTTGACACATTCGTTTTATATTTCTCTCTCTGTCTTCATATGGATTTTTTCCTTTTGGTCAAATCTTCTGGGAGTAGAGTATAGAAATCATGCCACTTCACCTCTAAATATTTCAGCATATCTCCTAAAAAAACCAAACGTATTCTCCTACATAGCCACAGCATCATTACAATACCAGAGAAAAACTGCGTGAATTCAATACAACCCTCAACAGACTCTCTGTACTCAAATTTTCCCAATTGTTAAAAATGTTTTTTTTTTTAAATCCAGAATCAGTGCATTTCAACTAACTCTTTTACGTCTTTAGTCTCCTTCAGCTCAATTATATTGGGATTTATAAAATAATGATTCTCAATTTCTACCATTCCTTCCATATTTATTAGCTGACTTCTTCTATAAAGAAAATCTGCCTCCTCTTTTCTTGCCCTTTGACTGTTTCTGCCTTGTTGAGTGTCACTACGAACTCATGGATTAATTTTTTCATTCCAAGTGTTATAATCTATTACTCTCATTATTCTTTTTGATGCTCAAATTTCCTCCAGATTGGCCAGTGGAGGTCTCTAAAATTTACTTTTTACATTTAGGTCTTCAATCTATCTAGACGTCTTCTTTTTAAAAACATGATGATGAAGCAAGGATCTAGTTTTATGTCTTTTCCCCCTATTTAACCAGTTGTACCAGCCCCACTAGTTGGACAGTCTATAGTTTACTCACTCATTTTTTTTAATACTACCACTATCAGGTGTCAAATTTCCACATGTGTGTGTGTCTAGGTTTTCTATTCTTGTCCACTTCTTTGTTTAAACCTCTGCCAATACCACACTGTCTTGATTCTAATAGCTTGATAAGTCATCTCCATATCACTTAGGGTAAATGTCTCTATTTTCTTATTTTTTTTTAAGATTTTATTTTTTTCCTTTTTCTCCCCAAAGCCCCTCGGTACATAGTTGTATACTCCTCGTTGTGGGTCCTTCTAGTTGTGGCATGTGGGACGCTGCCTCAGCGTGGCCTGATGAGCAGTGCCATGTCCGCACCCAGGATTCGAACCAACGAAACACTGGGCCGCCTGCAGCGGAGCGCGCGAACCCAACCACTCGGCCACGGGGGCAGCCCCTCTATTTTCTTATTTTTCAAAATTTTCTTGGCTTTTCTTGTCCCTTTGCAAGGAGAAAAGAAGGCACTGTCCTAAATTTTAGGACCTGCTTGTTATTCTTCACAAAAAAACTCTGTCAGATTTTGTTTGGAATTGCATCAAATCTGCAGATTAATTTGGGTATGTTATAGCTTATTGGTTCAAAATATTAAGCAGACACTGATAGGATTACAAGGAAAAAAATGAGAAAATCTAAAGCCATCATGGGAGGTTTTAACACAGAGGAACATAACACAAATGAAGAGTAATAGAGAGACAGAAATTTTAAACAACAAAATGTGCTTGAGTAACATATATATAATATATTAATGTTATGAAGTCCTTTTTTATTCCTAATATTATTTATTTATGCTTTTCTTTTTTCTCTTAATTACATTTGCTTGTAGTTTGCCTTTTATTCCATTTTTTCCCAAAGAACTAGATTTTAGGTTTTTGTTGGAACCTAAAGACTTTTTCATATTTTACTCATGTTTACTTTAAAGTTTTTCTTTCTTCTCCTTTTGGTTTTCGAGCTATTCTTTTTCAAGTTCATAAGCTGAATTCGTAATAACTTATTTTAAACTATTTTTTGTTGCTTGTTTTTTTTTAAATAGATGCATCTACAGCTTTTGATTGTAGTAATTCTTTCATTGTTGTTCAGTTCTAAATATTTTCCCATTTCCATTGTGACTTCCTTTTTACTCATGATTTTTTTAGGGAGTATATTTTAGTTCTCAAAAATATATAAAAAAAATTTTTATCATTCTCTTTTTATTGAATTCTAATTTAATTATTTTTCTTGCAGTAATTTTGGTTTATAACATTATATAAATTTCGGGTGTACATCATTATATTTTGATTCATGTATAGATTACATCATGTTCACCACCCAAAGACTAATTACCATCCATCACCACACACATGTGCCTAATCACCTCATATTCAGGAAACGTGGACTGATTGACAGCCTTTGAAATTTATTGAAGCTTTTTTCAGACATAGTATTTGTTCAAATTTGCAAATATTCTAAATATATCTGAAAATAAAATATTTTCCCTTTTTGCTGTGTACCATCTAGATTTTTATCCTATCTATTGAATTTTTTATTTCAGTGACTATATTTTTCATTTCCATGATTTCCAATTGGTTCTTTTTCATTTAAATTTGTCCTTGTTTTATTTATATCTATTTTTGCTTCATAGTTTTTGGTCTGTCATGTATCTTTTTGTGCAGCCTAAGAATACTACCCAAATTAATCTGAAATGAATTCATATTTTGATTGTTGACTTTGAGTTTTTTTTCTGAACATTTCTTTACATATTTGGAATGCTTACCTGCAGTTACGTAGGAATTCCTATATGCAGGCACAAAACAATTTTGTTGGCTTTTTTGTTTCTTTCTCTCCCTATATACTCATTCCATCCTTTTTTTGGGTGGGGGTGGGGGGGTGGGGTTTCCTTATCTTGGCCAAAGGTCCCAGTCCAAAGTCAGTTCTCGTAATATGGTGTTTAAGATCTCCTGTTCTGTTATGCTATCAGGAAATATCATAGACCCAGTTAATGAATCAATGGGCTGCTTGGTTAGGCAAGCTTGTGTATGCGTCCTTTGACCTCTCCGGGTCTGTAGTTCCAAATAAGCTCCAGCCCCAGTCAGTGATTGGCAACAGTTTCTGTTTAGCTTCTTTTCATGAGTCCCTGTGGGGTACTCATGAGCCCTGCTGTGGACTTGGCTCTAGCCCATGTCTTGAGAAGCACTGTTAGTTCTTTTCACGCCGCAGGCTCTGGCTTCCTGTTCGCCTCTGCTTACTTTTGGACTTAGAGCCTATTAAATCTATAGCTTAACTTAAATCATAACTTTGTGTTTTTGTTATTTCTCTGGTCTTGTTTTGGCTCTATTCTCTCTCTGTCCACTTCATCTATCATACAATGTATTTGGAGCAGCAGAGATGTTATCAAAGGGTGATTTAGTGAACTATCTTATTGGAAAATCACTTAAGCTTTTTAAGGAATCCTCTACAAGCAAAGAAAGAGAGAAAGAGAAAATAGAGTATTCAATTTCTAAAGGAGCCATGAAAGATTGTCTCTGCTTTAACCTACCGGGAAAGTAGAAAACTGTTTTTATAATTCCTACCTATTCTCCCCTAATAGCTAGGGCCTTTATCATTACTTTCTTATTATTTAGCATCTTCCACTCTCACTCAGACCTTCCTTTTCTTCACCCCACTTAAAACTTCCATTCCAAGCAGCCGGCTTGGTGGTATAGTGGTTAAGTTTGTGAGCTGCACTTTGGCGGCGCGGGTTCGCCAGTTCAGATCTGGGCATGGACCTACATACCGCTCATCAAGCCATGTTGTGGCAGGCATGCCATATGTAAAATAGAGGAAGATGGGCACGGATGTTAGCTCAAGGCCAATCTTCCTCAGCAAAAAGAGGAGAGGAGGATTGGCGGCAGATGTTAGCTCAGGGGTGATTTCCTCAAAAAACAAAACAAAACAAAAACAAAACAAAACAAAAACTTCCATTCCCTGAAAAGTCGCCAGTACCAGCTCCCTGTCAACTAGTCATATAATTAAAGTATTCAAACTGAATTGTAAGTAAAGCTTGTGAGCCCAATGAGTCCTTAATTAGTCAATGTATGGGCTACACTTAGTTTGTGAGTGGTGACAGGAGGAGGGGGAATTGGACTTGACTACATGTCTATTCTTACAACCACACAGAGGCCCAGGAACAACCTGAAGAGACTCTGAAATGAGGGCACTTGAAGTAAGGTGGCACCAGTAATTCTGCCGTAACTAAGACCACCTGCTAAGAAGAGGCGCCAACATGGAGAAAAGGATTTTCTAAGGCAGGGTCAAAACAAGGTGTGTGTGTATATGTGTGTTTGTATGTGCATCTCTATGTATGAGTACACACATGCGTGTGCTGCTAACCTCCTACCCACAGGAATAAAAGCAAAAGTATTAACCTAAGGGGCTTCCAGTTACCATCTGGAAATGTTTGGGAATTACTGATCAGAGACCAGGATTATAAGAACTACATAATTGTTCCATGTCTATTATGTTTGTTTTCTGCAAAGGATACCAGTGAATCTCTAAATTAAACCAAAAAGACCCAAGGGCTTATCTTTAAGAGCAGCAAGGGGTGGAGCTGGACACTATAGTCCATTCCACAGCCAGGCTTGGAGTGGAGAAGAATGGTCTTCCACCAGTGGAGTAGTAGTGGCAGCTACTAAAGGAAAAAGGACAAAATGAGTGTCAGGGACCTTCTGCATGGAATCTGATCTGGGCTTGAAAGGGATCTTTAGCCATAAAGAGATCTATGTGATTGCCTGAAATCTCCCCCCTCTTTCCTTAGTCTTATAGGGTATAGAAAACATGGAAAATCTTACAACTTGGTCCACATGTATACTTAGACTGAAGAAAGCCTTTCAGCCTCATTTGCCTCAGTAAAACATAACTGATGTCTAAAATAATCAAAAGAGTCACAGGCCTGCGGGACCTCGTGGACTCCCTGGAATCCACCTAGAACCTCTCAGCTCCTCTGGGTGGTAGGTATGATCTCCACGGTGTTCATTCCATTTCTGGTAATTATCTCCAATTCGAACTCAATAAAATTGTCCAAATGCCTTCCATCTTGAATGTGCCTGAAGCCATATAATAAAAAAAATTGCAAACAGAATTAGTTGACATTTTCTCCATGGACCATTCTGGTCCCTGAGATCCCTGATGCCCAAAGAGATCTCTGATCCACACACTGCATCTACTGCCAGTTTCTTTCATTCGTGACCCTAAAGACTAATGTTTTCTTTTAGGAAATTTTTCATAAGTGAGTTTTCATTACTTTCTTTATGACTATAATACATATTTTGGATCCAGTGCACACAAAAGACATTTCATTGGCTTTAATGCTGTCTCTTTCAGTTATATGGACATGATATTAGGAGAGTTTCCTAGAATCTGTACAATCATTCCCAACTCATTTAGCTTCTCCTCCATTTTTAAGACAAGCAGTAGTTGGGTTTTCCTATCACCATCACAGTTCTGCATTTGGTAACTTATTCTTTTCCTCACTTGGAGATTCCATCTCAGACCTCGCCACTTCATCTTCAGCAGGTGATATTGTAGTCACTGGACCAACCCCCAACCTTGATGTCTCTATGGGACTTGCAGAGACATTTTGATCAAGGGGAGGAGATCTGGAAGTTATGTAGTTGAGGAAGGAGATGATTCCTAGGGGAAGAGAAGAAATAGAGCTGAGTTTCAATAGACAGATGGTCTTTCTGCTTTTAAAATTCTTATTCATTCTTTAAACACTCAGTTCCAAAGCCCTCTTTTCAGTGAAGCCAACCCTCCTCTCCCCCAGCAGACTTACTTTACCCTCCTGTGCTCCCATTTCATTATAGTATTTCTCACATGATTAGGACAAAGCTTGAAACTCTTGGATGCAAATCATATTTCCACTACTTTCTGTGTGGTCTTCAGCAAGTTACTCAGCTGTCAATGCTTCAGCTAGTGGTAGAACAGGTTACTAATTCTAGATTTTCAGACTCCAAAATCCATGCTTTCTTCACTATACCACACTACCTCTCAATGTATAGTTGCTCTGAATAAGAACAGTTTGTGCTGGGGCTCAGTCCCATGGCAGAGTGGTTAAGTTCGTGCACTCTGCTGCGGCGGCCCAGGGTTTCACCAGTTCGGATCCTGGGCGTGGACATGGCACCGCTCATCAAGCCATGCTGAGGAGGCATCCCACATGCCACAACTAGAAGGACCCACAACTAAAAATACACAACTATGTACCAGGGCTCTTGGGAAGAAAAAGGAAAAATAAAATCTTAAAAAAAAAAAAGAACAGTTTGTGCTTCTATTTCTCCTAGATTCTACTTCCCTTTCAAGAAATAGTTTCCCCTTCCATCCTTCTAGCATAAGGCAAGGTACTAACTCACCAGCAAGCATGTATAAGAAGTCACTCCACCAATTAAGATGATAGGCCCATAGGAGATTTGACTCCATGGCATCTCTAGTATACCAATGAACCTGTGCCAGAAATAGGATGAGGCAGAAGAGCAAGCAGGTGGCTAGGACCAGAAGAAAAGATGTTATAACCTATCAGTGTCTTCAGTCTGCCTTGACCCACCACCCCCAACTCTTCTTCCGCTTTCAGGCACTATACGTATGGAAAGGACCAAAAGGATAAAAATTTGGGGATTGACCAAGATGGCAGGGAGAAAAGGGCCTCTACCTCTCCCCAAGCATAAGTCAGCTAAAGTGTGTTTTATACAATAAGACAGGGCAGATAGCTGGCAACTTGATGTGATACTGAAGAAAAGAAAAGGGACAAGAAAAAGAGGATGAAAGCCCCACGGAGAAACTTCGTTCCCTTGACAATTTTACCATGACATAAACCTGCTCGTCTAGGTCTGTACCTGAGATGAAGCTGAGCATGGATACCTTCAGATCCAAGTTGGTGGTCATGCTTCCTCTTCTAGGTAGGCAAGAGCTGAAGAGCCAGCCAAGGTCAATGAGTATGATTAGGACAGAGATGAGGAAGAAGGCCCTGGAATACTGGAGGTAATCTGCCGAGGAGGAGAAAGGAAAGGCTTGGTTAGTCTAGTGCGGGCCCCCACCACCTTAAGAAAATCAGATAGGGTCTGAGAGAAGGGAGTGAGGGCTAAGGAGGATGAAGCTGAGCTTGCTGTGTGGCATCCAGGGCACAAAGAAGGATCTTCTTTCCCAGGTCTTCATTGGTGCTTGGAATTTCTTTACTATGAAGGCAAGCCTTCATTGTAAAACTAAAGATAATATTATACAAATAGTTCAGGGTGCATTAACACATTAACTTAAATATAAACTAGCTTATAAGAGATGTGATACTAACATAACAACACACATTAAAACTTTTTCTCGTTCCTAATTCTAATGCTAAAAGTAACACATGTTCAATATAAGCATTGGAAAGACTACAAAAGTACCAGGAAACAGGAAGAAAATCAGCCACAATCTCACCACCCAGAGGCAACCATTGTTAGCATTTTATTTTATTTATTTCTAGTATTTTTCTATCCTCTGTACATAATGGATATAATAATGAATATCATGTGATTCGTTTTTCTTAAGATTATATAACAAGATCTTTCCCAGCTCACTTGTCATAAACATCATTTTTAGTGGCTACAAAATAGTCCATCAAATTAACATGCTTTGCTTAATGATTTAGCTATCGTTGAACTTGGAGTTTGTTTTTATTTGTCTTTTTCTCTTTTAAATGTATCTGGTATGTATAGGCCTTGTCAGCCTGTGACTGCAAAATGAAGTCACATTTACTTTAACTCCTATGTTGTAATGATCTCAAGTCCCAATTTACTGGATTGCAGGAATTTAACACCCCAAAAATACCTCTCATTTTTTTTCTGAGAGATCCCAAGTTCCTATCTCATGTTTGTTCAAGGAGAGTTCTGCTAAAGTTCTCGTGCTCCAGTAGCCTTTGCTAAGTCCCGGAACACTCCTTCTTTTCTCATCTGTTGGCTCCAGATCTCTGCTCTCTTTGTTGGTAATAGAGAAGAGGGGGCATGCTAACCCTTACTTTTTGCTACCACATTCCTAACACAGAACAGACCCTTCGCTTGACTTCCCCAGCAATGTTCTACTGAAGGTTTAATAAATAAACTTACAATTGCAAGTAGATATAGCTTTTCTGAGATACCACAGATCCTGCAATATCTTCAATATCCTTTCTAGGGTGCCTCCTTGTCTAGCTTCTTTTCTGTCTCGATGTAGCAGGGGCCAGCTCATCCCTACCACTGAAAGTTCTCTAAGCACTTCTATGCCTAATCCAAGTCCAGCTTCCAAGTAACCCAGAAAGAAGAAATTATGTATCAAGCTTGTTCCAGTCTAAGATCTGCCTCTTAAGTCTTATTTTGTTCTCTAGAACATACTACTTACTAACATGATAAAAACAGTAATTTCCATTAAGAAAAAAACCTCACTCCTACCCACAGAAGTGAGTTACTCTGCGGCCCCAAAAAGTTAGCTATGTTAAAACACGATAACCCAAGAGCAGCACATTTTCTGAAAACTGAGTCATTCAGAATTAGCAGTATATGTAGCCAGTCAGAACCATCTGCCCAGATTGAGCCGCATGAAGCCCAGTAGGATAGGCATCTTTTTCAGTATTTAGCCCACAATCCCCACGGGCCCCAGCAGTCTCTGTTTATAGCCCTGGACCCCTTGCCTACAGGCCCCTGACTATGGCTAACAGGACGTAAGGAAGGGTATGTGACCTATGTTGGACCAATTTGATTCTTATGCTCGGAAATTTGGATTTGAGACTAACTGATGCCTATTTCCTCTTTTGCTTGCTTGAACCAAGAAGATGTAAAGTTAGACTAGACTATTAATTTTCAGGCACTTACACACTAATAAACAGGAAAAACTGAGCTGTAGAGATAAAACAAAGTATAAACAAAGATGAGTGACAAAGCAACTCTAGAGAGACTGGGTGACTAGCTGGCTTGATTTTCTTCGTCTCACATCACAGCCTCCTCCAGAATCCCCTAAGGTCCAGCAAACTTCCTGCCCTTGGGAGTCTGTGAGATTCTTCCAACTCCTGTCTAAGGTGTGTTACCATCCAGTCTTTCTTCTACCACGAGGAGAAGACTGTACTTTTATGTTCTGCTTACAATCTTCTCTGTCTTAGCTCCTCATCTCCTGAAAACTACATGGACAAGACCACTCACCACTCCATAGGAGCAGCTAAAGATCTGAGGCGTAGAACAGTCTCACAGTCCTTATAGGGCAAAGGAACCCAGTCTGTCAGTCACAATCACATAAACAAATTATTTAAGCAAACCAAACACTTAGCTTCAGAGTCTAAAACAGCTGCTTTTGGTTAACTTCATAGATTTTTTATTCGTGTAACAAAGCAAAACAAAGGTCTGAAAGCTGAATTTGAACCTCTATCTCCCATAAGATCAAAACCTATTTCAGCTTTAAACAACAGTTTTTACAGCAGCTTACCCATTAAAGTTTCAGAAATCTTAGGACCTAAGTTACACAAGACCCTACTTGTATGTGTCAGTAAGAAGCCTTGGTCCAGGGAGAGAAGAGTGCCCTAGATACAAGAAACACCCATGTGGGTCATCAGTATCTAAACATTTCTGAAGCTTTCCTTAAGTGAAATACTTTGATGTGGACTTGGGTTGTAGGAATAGCCAGGCAAGCGTCCCAGTTTGCTGAAGGCAGTGAAGCTAATGCCCTGGGAAGAGCGGGCATACCACTTTCAATTTGGAAAGAGATGAAGAAGGCCACATCATTTGAAAACCTTGGGAGGATCCTTGCTGGTGCTCTCAGGATCACCCCAAACAGTGATTCCAGACTTCAGGGCACCATCAGATAGGAAGTAAAAGCTACCAAGACTGGAAGGGGCACCACCAAACCAGAAAGCAGTAGTGTTTCTCAGTGAATTGAGAAACCATTTGGCAGTTTGTAACTGATGGGCAGGATCTCCTTCCACTGTGATGAAAATAAAACTTTGCCCAGTGCTGGGGATGGGGGTGGGGTTTGGAAAGTGAGAGAGGCAGGGCTATATGCCACCCAACTCTTGTAAACAAATAGGCTTAGTTAACACTAGATGCTCTTCCACTTTAGGGATATTAACACACTGGAAGGAAGCCATGAGAAGACAAGATGACACAAGAAGGAAGAAGCAGAGGAGAGAAGCCAGCTATAGTAAAGCTAAGCACCCGGTATTCAGCTGTTCCGAAGAGATTTGGCCATGGGACTCCCCTCACCGCACCCCATGTCCTTCAGCAAAAATCAAAGCCAGGAGAGGGGGGCAGTGGCCCAAAAGGATCCAGCCCCTTTTAACTGTGAAGGAGCCAGACTGAGTGGGTGGAGGTAAAGTGTAGATAGTGATTTTTGAGGATGAAGAAGGTGCTGCTGGAGACAAGCTGGGCAATCAGCCTACTTATTTATCCAAATCTAAATCTCTACGCTGCTGCTATTGTGCCTTCATTCCAGGCACATAAGGCCAAGACAGAGCTTCCCCAGACTCAGGGAAGTGCCCAAAGTGGGTAGCTTTGAAATGGAAAAGATCCTGGATGGAGACCTAGCACCCTGGAGACGAAGCTGTGAAACCTGCTTAGTATTTAGATTCCCTTGTAACTCGGTTGGAGTGCCAGAATAAAGGATCCCCAGACAACTTGACGACGTTTACTGTATGATGGTTCCCAGGGTCCTGGCTCTGGAGTGCCCAGTGCCTTGAGCAAAAGACCTGCCCTTTCTTCCCTACCCTCTGCAAAACAGTTCAATTTACTCTCTGTGGCAACGCATTCCTGAACGTTACAGTCTGATCTCACCTATGCTGTGAGGGAATTAGCAGAAGGATGTGTTCCACATTTGAGATCTAGTAGTAAAAGGGAAGAATGATGTCTTTTACTCCCCACCTCTTCTTCATGGCATTAGCAATAGCTATGGCACAGAGGCTATCAGTCATCTAGAACCAGGTGAAGTCAGAGGCAGGGGTAAAACAGCCTGAAGTGAGTCCAGGACAGAGGAACACGAGCACACACGTTTTTGAGTCCACCTTAGACAGCCTCTGTGGAACTCTCAGAAATGACTCGGAATATCATGGGAGAGGGGCTAAATTCTTGCAATTCAATAGCTAAAAGTTCAAAGTTCTTGAATTTGGATAATAATGTATTTGGGGAATAATAACATATTATATATATTATATAATAATGTATGTCATAGGCTGATGAGGCCTGGACACACTGATTACATTTTGGGAATTCCTTGTGAAATCTGGACTGCAGACTAGTTACTAGCCCTAGAGTTAGGGCTAGTTAACAATGGAAATAGGGTGGAGACTTGAGTTATAATTGTATACTTAAAGGACTCTGTTGACTTTCTGTAAACAATTAACAGCTGACCTCATAGATGAATTCAAGACCCAAAGAAATAAACTATTTACTGCTTTAAGTGAAAAACTTCAAAATTTTGACTCATTAAAGATTTAAATAATAATCTCAAGGCCTGAGTTTTAGCCTGGGCAGCCAGTTACATAAGCATAATTGCAACTTAATTTTTATGCCTACATCTTATACTCCACTCATCTAGAAATGGAACGAGTGAATGTAAATCTCTGGATACACATAAATCATGTAGCTTTGGTTATACCCATTTATGTGGTCCCCAGTGCGTACAGGAGTCTGCAGCATTGTGTACTGCCATTTAAAAATCTCTGTTAATGGCATGGTTGAAAATTTCTATCCTATTGTTCATTTCATTTGCCTTTCTTTAATGATTGATTGAGGTTAAAATAGTTTTCCTATGTTTATTAGACATTTGTAGTTTCTGTTTTGTGAATTGTCTGTTCACAAAGAATTTAAGTATTTGGGTATTTTTTTTCTTAAGAATAATTTGTACTTTTTTATGTATTAAGGCCATTAACCTTTTATCTTTCATATTTGTGGCAAGTATTTTCTGTAGTTTTTCTTTTGAGCTGAAGATGCAGTTCAATTGTCTGCCTGCCTTTGATTTTAATTTCTTCCCAAGATCTTGCTTTAGAATCCTGCCCCTTGGTTCCAAAAGCCGCAGCCCATGGCCAAGTAACTGACTCTCCACCTCAGGATTAGGACCAGGTGCCCCCTCACCTCAGGATCTGGGACTCCTGCTTATTTGAGAACGAGAAATAGACACTTTACTCATGTATGTTTTCTTTCACAGTAACCGCTTCTTTGTGTAAATGTCTCTCTCATGAATGATGGGGAAACTGTTGAGCGTAATTATCTCTTTCCTTTTCTTTTTTTTTTTTTTGAGGAAGACTAGCCCGGAGCTAACATCCGCTCCCATCTTCCTCTACTTTATACGTGGGATGCCTACCACATGTGCACACCCGGGATCCGGACCAGCGAACCCTGGGCTGCTGAAGAGGAAGGTGCCAACTTAACGCTGCGCCACAGGGCCGGCCCCAATTATGTCTTTCCTTTAAGTCTTGGTTCTGGTTGAAAATCTCATGCATATGGTATCTTCTAGACCTAGAAGCTTATTTCTAAATATTTTGTGTTGGATTTTCAGATTTACTTAAATTAACATAAAATTAGACATTAGTAATTTACTCTAAATAGCTGGCATTTGTTATATTACACCTCTGACACGCATTTAACTTCTTTTCTACTGCTAGCAGAAGAACAATCTGACCTTGAAAATTCAATCTCATGGAGGCAGAGACACTTTGCTTTATCTCCCAGCTATGATCAATCACTTCTCTTCTCTTTCTGCAAACCATATTAGAATAACAATCACCTTGCTTCACAGTAACAGCTCATAAATAACAAAAGAGTTCTTCCCAGAGAGTGAAGAGGGTATCAACTCATAATTTGGGAGAGGAAACAACCTGGGGTATGAAGGAGAAAGGGTATACTGTGAAGACACCAAAGAAAAGGATGGCTATATTCACCACCTGGCTGAGATCCATCCTGGACTTGGAGAGGTGAGGGCCAAAAGATCTTGGAGGAAGAAAGACGAAGGGCCAATGTGGCAGAAAGCTCTTGAACTGTGGGGCCTGTGGCATTTAATTTAGTGGCACTCACAGGGTGGCTTGGGTGTGTGGCTCCAGCACAGCTCATGGTTGCATGTGATCCAGAGTCCTGCGTAGAGCTCAAGGCCATTCTTGATCACCAGGAACTGCACCCAATTCAGTGGGGACACGCAGATCAGCATCAGGAGGCTAAAACCACAGAGGCTGCCACAGAACATTCGGATGTAGGTGTGTGTTTGATCCACATGCTGCTGCCGCCTCTGGGGTGGCATCGAGGCACTCGGATGTTTGTTGGTGGGGAGGGTAGGCTACAAGGATGAGGGAAATATTGCCTACCCACACAGATAACCTTTGATCCCCCGGGTCTCCTAGTCTTCTGTACCTCAAGTATCCCCATGTGGGTGTGATTTGTGAATATCTTTTCCTATCCCTTCTATAAAAACCAAGACCGTCAGGGGGGTCTTTTCTCTATCTTTAGGACACTCTGTCTAGGCCCGCCTTTAAGGAAATCCTCTTCCTCCCATCTGACCTATAATTAGGTACCTCCTTACCCTTTGGTATTTCCGGTTCCCCTTAATTTTGGGAACCTTAGGACTGTGGAAGGTCAAGACTAATTCTTTCCTCCTCTCCATCTTGGCAGGCAGTTCACTTCCTAACTGCCACGGAATTTGTCTCAGCACCTCCTCTCACATGCTGGCAGAACCAAAAGGGGCCAGAACCCATGGCACAGATCCCATTTCTGTTTCATATTCCAGGTCTAGTTAGATCAGGAAGAAATCATTACATTTTAAGGTGTGATGTTCACCCTCCCTTCTCGGACTCCTCCCAACTCCTTTATTAAATAAATCCACAAATAATTTGACAGCAGTTGCTGTGTGTCAGGGTTTGTACTAAGTCCTGGGACATAAAGATGAATAAGACACAGTTCCCTAAAAGCAAATAAAAACATTTAGCTCAGATGTCTCCAGAACTCAATAGCTTGTGGTTATAATTTAAGATTATATATATGATCTTAATCTACTGATATGTATCTATACATCAGTAGGCCAGAATTTATGTTCTTGACCCAGCTCTAACTGGAAGGCCCAGATGTGTCTCACTAGGCTCATGAACCAGTCTGTCAACCATAGTCCTTGCAGCATCCACTTTTTTCTTCTTTTCTTGCTTTGGTTCTCACTCTTCAATGCTGTCTACTCATGAAGGCGTTTAAGGGTGCTACACCCTGGCCACTGCCACTGCTGAAAGGACCCACTGTGAAAATGCCAGAATCCCTAGCCCAGGGGTCTACCAGCCAATGTATGGAAAGCTACAACTCAAGCTACTGCAGCAGTGTTGGGTTCTACGCGGAAGTGAGGAGAATGGCCTTTTCCTAGTTCTACAGCCAGCACAACTTGTGCCCAGAGTATCTCAAAGTCTCCTTTTCAAACCACTCTGTCAGCATTGGTCCTAACTCCTTTCCCCACAAGCACTCAAAATCAATCCAAGATGTTGAACAGATGCCATCCTATTCCACAGCATGAACATGCTTCAAATAAATGCCCAGCGGGATTGCCAGCTCTTGTTTTCCACAAACAAGATAAACTTTGATTCTTAAGTTTGGGCTGAATCAGAATGTCCTATCACCCTTTTCTCCTAGCATGCCCTCTCCTCACCCACCCCAGCCTGTTGAGGCCTATGCTTTCTGCCAGCTGGCAGGAGCTACCGGCAGTAGCGGGTTTATGTCCATGCCTTAGCAAGCAGTCCTCCTTCTGAAAATGTGTTATTTGACTCTCTGCCTCTCAGTACTTAGCTTAGTACCTGGAAAAAACAGTATTTAATGTTGAGTGAATGAGTGAGCAATACATTTTTATACAAAGTACAGAGGGGGAGAAAGAGGACAGAATAGTTAACACTATCAGAGGAAAATTAAGGAAGGTTTACTGGAAGACAGGATGTTTTAGCTGGATTTTAAAGGAATTTGCCAATTAATCGAGGTGTAAGGGCGTATGAAGCAAAGAGAATAGTGTGTCTCAAGGTCAGAAGCCATGAACAGCATGAAGTTCTCAGGGCACCAGAAGAAGTATGGTTCTACTAGGCACAAAATCAAGGGTAAGAGTTGAGGGTTGCAGATCGAGGCAAGTGCTGGATCACAAAGCTTCTTAGTCTTTTATGCCATGCTGTGCAATTATATTGAAAAGCTTCGATTGCTGGAATACTCTAACCCTACTGGCATGATTATAGGAAAGACTTTCCCATCAGCAGCAAACTGACTCTTACAGCATGGTTGTTAGATAGACATGTATGGCTAGAGAGCTAGCTATATGCTTTGAATAGGCAGGCCTGCCTTTCCATCCTGGTTGTAGCACTTAGTTCCAACACCTACTGGCAAGGTTCCTTTGGGAAATTTCATTAACCTCACTGAACCTCAGTTTCCTCATCTCTAAAACTGGGATAATAATCCTTCCCACCTCATAGAATTATTGTGAAGATGAAATGAGATAATACACATACAGCTCTTAGCATGTTAATATGTGCTCAATAAATACTATTTATTATTGATGAAAATTGATATTATTGATATATATATTATCTTTATTAAGTAATTAATAAGTGCTTGGTAAATACTATCTATTATTATTTTTTAAAATGTCTTTCCAAGTTTGCTTGAGCATGATCTTGGCACAGGCCGCCCTGAGACAGCTGAAATACTCATGTTAATGGAAAGGATGTGTCACTCTTCACCTTGTCACTAGTAGCACTAAATAAGCACATTACCAAAGAGATGATATTGATGTAATGTGGGGTAACAGGTCGTCTTGTGAGCAGTGTTTGATTTAGTAAATGATGCAACTCTCTAGCTATTGAAGGAACAGGTCAAGATCATTCAATTCCTAGGCCTACTTCAAGGCCCACCTCAGGCCTACCAAAAGGTAGGAGGTTCTGGCCAGCTGGGAACTTACTGGGGCCTGGATGCATATGACAAAACAAGCATTTATTCATATCTGGTGGCTGTGTATATTGCCTTTCACTTACTTTAAAAAGCAATTTGGGGTCCCCAACGTGTGCTGCAGCCAGCTGCCCTGGAGCTAGTGGGCAAGCACAGCGATTCCTGGGGCCGGCAGGGTCCAGGCAGAGAGTGGCTGAGGCCAGTGGACCAAGCGCCTTGGGCACTGACCCAACACCACACGGGCTGCTGTGGAAATGAGATTATGAAGGCTATTTCTGCTCCTGCTGCTCCCTGCAGAATCCCAGAGCTGTGCTTCTGCGTTGAGGCCCTTCAGTGTGGACTGGCTCAGGCTGGTTAAGGACTCAGTCTCTGACAAAACAATTGGACTGATGAGAATGCAGATTTGGAAAAAAATGTGGACAATATGTACTGTAACAATACACACATCAGCCTGTGGCCATTGAACTATGGAAGGTTTGTGCACCAGCAGAGGCAGGCCCCGTTTCTGGGCCCCAGATTGACTTCACAGAGACCCAGGAAGGATGGAAAACCAGATCTCCCACATAGAGGACTGAGAAAAAAAGTGGATGGAAAGCTGCTGTCAAGAAACATAATTTGACTAAAAGATGGCTTATGAGAGTCATTGATGAAGGAGAAAAAAATTGGATGACAAAGCATATTGCAATATCCAGGAACTGGAAAATTATGCTGAAAACACACAGAACTCTCTTCTTTATTTGACACCAGAAATATTGGGTATAATGACCTTCATGAAGATCATGTCACAAGCCACACTGGAAAAGCACAAGGTATTGTCACATGCTTGAGAGCAACGTCCTATAGTGGTAGCAGAAGAAGGGTGTGCCCTCCCTTGAATATTTATATCTTTGACCAATACAACACATGGGGTTTCACAAGAGGATGTTCTATGAAGAACCGAGGTAAAAATGTGAGAGATGCAATATATGTCATTTCTAGCCAGGCCTACTTGCACTGACAGCAGGCTAGGTCCTTACATACAAAGTGTTCTTGTGAAAGCATTTCCTATTTTTCTTCTGGTTCCTCTGGAGGACTATTTAGAGAAAATTCAACAAGTGGATTTTAATATATTCCACCCATCTTTACAGGAGAAGAATACATTGCTTCCATTATCTTTGTATGTTCAGTCATAGAAAAAAAGATATTAAAATAGTTTCATGGTGGGGCCGGCTTGGTGGCATAATGGTTAATTTTGCACTCTCTGTTTTGGTAGCCTGGGGTTCACAGGTTCAAATCCTGGGCACAGACCTACTCACTGCTCATCAAGCCATGCTGTGGCGGTGACCCATATAGAAAATAGAGGAAGATTGGCACAGATGTTAGGTCAGTGACAATCTTCCTCAAGCAAAAAGAGGAAGATTGGAAATGGATGCTGGCTCAGGGCCAATCTTCATCACCCAAAAAAAATAAAAAGGAAGAAGAAGTTTCATGGCACTGAAGGAAAAAGCAATTTGATTAGAAGAAAACATAAACATCTTTGTGACATTGAAGTAGGCCAAGAGTATTTTTTAACAGGACTTCTGTTCACCAGAAGATACCATTGAGAGAGTAAAAAGACAATCCATGGAGTAGGGTAAGATCTTTGCAATACATATATCTAACAAAGGACCTGTAGCAAGAATATATAAAGAACTCTCACAAACCAATAGGAAAGAGAGACAACCTAATATAAAAATGAGCAAAGTCCTTAACTGACACTTTGCAAGACATCAAAAAGGCCAATAAACATATAAAAATGTGCTCAGCTTCATTAGTCATCAGGGAAATACCAATTAGAACCATAATGCAAAATCACTACACATCACCAGAATGGTTCCAATGAAAAGTATTGCCAAGTATGTGGAGCCACCGAAACCTCAGACACTTCTGTTGGGAGTGTAAAGTGGTATAATCACTTTGAAAGACTGCTTGGCAGTATCTGCTGGAGGTGAACAAACACATGCCCTTTTTACTCTAGGTAGGTGTGCCACAGAGAAGTGTCCATCTGTCCACCAGAAGACGTGCATTACAGTGCTCACAGCAGCACTCTTCATTATAGCCCCAAATTGGAAGCTACCCAACTGCCCATCAACAGAATAGGAAATCATGGCACATTCTCACAGTGAAAGACCATACAGCTAGATGAGTAATCTACAGCATGCAAGCAATATGAACGAGTCTCGTAAACATAAAGCTGAGCAAAAGAAGACAGACACAAAAGAGTACATACGTGTGATTCCGTTCATATGCAGTACAAAACAGGCAAAACTAATCTGTGTTGTCAGAGGTCAGGGAAACCCTCTGGAGGAAGATGACTAGGGACTAGGAGGGGACATGCAAGGGGGTTTGGGGGTGAGGAAATGTCCTATTTCTTGATCTGGGCACTGATTATCAGAGATTTATATGTATTTTATTCTGTAATAAAAAGTTAAAAGAGGGCCAGCCTGGTGGCATAGTGGTTAGGTTCACATGCTCTGCTTCAGCAGCCCAGGGTTTGCAGGTTCAGGTTCCCGGGGCAGACCTTCAAGCCACGCTGTGGCGGCACCCCACATACAAAATAGAGGAAGACTGGCACAGATGTTAGCTCAGCAGCAATCTTCCTCAAGCAAAAACAGGAAGATTGGCAACAGATGTTAGCTCAGCAGCAATCTTCCTCAAGCAAAAACAGGAAGATTGGCAACAGATGTTAGTTCAGGGCCAATCTTCTTCAACAACAACAGCAAAAAAGTTAAAAGAATAATTTGGGCATATAAATCAAGAATCTTAAAAATGTCTCTTTTGTCTTGGTAATTTCACCTCCAGGAGTTTATAAAATAAATATTATTATTATTACAGTTTATTTATATAGCCTATCTACTAGGAATTGTGCCAGGTACTTCATATACATTAGCCCTTTTGCTTTTGTGACTCAAAGTTTTCCATTTCATTTTCTAATTTGTTATTGCAAAATATAAAGAAGTTATTTTTTCTACATTTTTTTTTATCAGGCCACTTGACTGAATTATTTTTATTCTAA